TTTTTTCTACTGTTAAGAACTACAGATATTCCCAAAAATATTAATAAAAGAATTGTGAATATATTTCGAAAAAAGCGTCTGAGACATGGCGTTTATCTCCGTTAAGAGACTCGAAGTTTGAAGCGTACTAATTTGTTCACAGTTGGAGATTTTATCAGACGTTAATTCATTCGATGCCCTTCTAGTGCGCTGATTAATTTTGAACAAATAGACAATTGTATGTTTTGCGAGTAACCCATTGTGTTGCATTATTTTTGAGATAATGTTGGGAAAGTTTCAATCTATATTACGTTGACTTACTTTCCAACTATTAAAGTCCCATCTGTTTGCTAATAAGAATGGTGAATCCAACTTTTGTGGTTTGGGCGAGGTTACCTAGCAAACCCAATATGGGTGGTCAAAACTCGCTTATCTCTCTAGTACTCTGTCACCTTACTTAGAACACAAATACCACGGTACAAATGAATGTTTGGTAAGATATTTGTTTGCAAAGATAAATGACACCTTTCATCTAAGAGAGAGAAAAGAAAAGTGAACCATGTACACCCTTACATCAGTATAAATTTCAAACATGCCTTTTATGAGGAGAATGTAGTTAAAAATCAAGAGCTCTTTCAAGTTTGTGATCATTTCTTTACTTTTTTTGAGCCTAATGTTTGATTCAGCAGTGAATAATCAATTGTTTGATACCTTTCTCAATCACAATTTCACTATGAGGGAATTGAACTTGAGTCAAGTGGTGGTATATTGAATTGAGATAATTTTGACTGTGTGTGTGTTGGACTTGTGGTGAAGTATGCAGGGTATTGGTCTCTAATAAAGTCAATCAAATCCAAAAAGTCACCAGTGGTGTTCAACGCTCCATGTGTACCTTAATACCCTGGGCTCAAGAAAAAAAAAAATTAAAATGTAGTACAATAAAGGAATTAAATTTATTATATTTTTTGGTGAATCGCTCTATTTTTACTGTTTCCTTATGTTATTTGTTGTTCAATAATTTTACTTTTCTAAAGGATCAATACACGATGGTGGAATACAACGGCGTGTTGGATGTGATTAGTGAGACTTTCAGGTCAGTTGGAACTTAATATGAGAAGTTAACTTTTTTTAATACGTTACAGACTAGCTTTCTATCTCTAGTTTCAAATCCATCTACATTAAATGGAAGTACAGTATTGCCCTTTTGAAACAATTTGACAGAGAACTGGACCGAAATTGGTGGAAAACTGATACCAGCTTGTTTGAGGACCGGATCCAGTTTTTGGGTTGACTTCCATTTACGGCTAAGTTATCAAGTCCACATTTTCATGAATTAGGTGTTTTCTTCTTTTCCTTTTCTCCTCTCACGAAAGGTTCTTTTCAAAATCTTAGGCACGAAGGAGTAACAGGATTTTACAAAGGATTGATTCCCAGTGTCCTCAGGTAAGGCAGAATGTTAAGGATAAAATTGATAATACAAGTAGATTTGTTGAAAAGATTAATCACATAAACCGCGATGTTAAACAAGGATTTCCGGCCCTGAGAAAAGCCGTAACAACACGATACGAAATTTTTTCACCTGTGTTGATATAGCGCATCAGCTGCTGACACGTCACTCGCCCTTGGCGCCACTCGGTCAGGTTAATGAATGAGCGGCAAAGCCTTCACGATTCTCAATACAAGGTAGCTTGTCAGAACTTTCTCGAATTGTGGCGGCTAAAACACTAAAAAATTCGTATCGCTGATAGAAGGTTAGATTCAAACTTTTCTAGAAGGGGAAAAAACCAATATACACAAAGAGAAACCGAAGGCTACGGCTTTGGTGTTGGCATTTCTCGCGGCTGAGAATGAAAATCGACAGCTGGAAGATTTGCTACTGGCCGATTTTGGCCGTTTACCTGAAAGACTTTTTCTGTTGATAAGGACAAAGTCAATGAATGAAATTTTGTATATTGAAAATTACAAACATTGTTGTTTTTGAAATCGTGATTCAACGCATTTTTCCATCCAAAGAGTTATAGTTAGCGCCAACGCACTCCATGATTGTTATTTGGGAATTGTCGATTCATTTATTTTCATTCATTAAGGAAGTCGGCGCTTCTTGTGAGTAAAGGGCCATTGTGTTTATATAATAAACAAAATAATAAATGGTTACTTGTAGATATGGAATTTCTCTTCTCGTGTTCAACTCATCATCTCACCCGTTCGCTGCGCTCACTCGTGAGCTATCGAGTTAAACACTCGCAGAGAAATTCCATATCTACGCGCGCCCATGTATTATTCTCTATTTATATAATCAAGAATTGGCCAAGAGGGCTTAGTGGGATCTCATATTTAATTTTAGTTGGCGCTTTGTAAAGAAAAGGTTCGAGACAGGCGATAGATCATTAAGAGGCTATTAAAATTCGAAGTTAGTTTTATATGGAAGGTGTTATAACGTTGTTTTCGTCAGTTATATGATCGAATACTGTGAAGTTATTAAGATACTTGTCCTTATTAAAATTCTTGTGCTCCATCTGATGTGTTATTGTAAGTTTTTGCGGTTTTCTTTTTGTTTTTTTTTGTTGAGTTTCGGGAATCCAGTTAAGGAGCGTTGTAGAAGATGTTAGAAACCGTGTTCTGTTTGAACACGTTCATTGTTGGTTTTACTTTATTTTTCTTGTTTGATTTTAGTTTTTTTAGAGAATCGCCAGCATGTGCACTCACATTCGTGGTGTACGAAAACGTTATTCACTTCGTACTACCGAACAGATGACATCGAGAGGACAAATAATGCAATCCAGCAATGGAAGACGATGGGCAAAATTCCCGCTCGTGGTTTTATTACCAGGCTATATTCAGCAACAGTTCCGACTGTTTCCAGATATGGAAAAAAAATACGTTAATCGTGCGAAGTTAACCACCTAGAGCATTTACACTTTTTATTTGAACCTCATTCACTAGCGAAATATGAATATGAATTTTTCTTAGAGCATTTTATACACAACAATACAAGAGGTATCCATTACTATTCTTAGCTCCTAAAGATAACAATGATTTCTCTCATTGTTCTTTAATTAAGAACTTCCCCCCTATCTCTCCCCACCCCCTCTGTGGGTAGAAAATTAATGTACATTCCTTAGCACTAAAAAAGGCAGAAACTACGAGAAATGCCTTTGTGCAAGTTTTTTTTTATTACTGTTTACTTAATAATAATTGACAATTGAATTCTAACATTACTTGTGAAAATTACTCCCAATTTAATCAAGAAAAATGTTCAATATCAAATTAATTGTGACAGTTCTAAAAAAAAAAATTCCTTTCGCTGTTCCTTACGTTACGATCTTTCTCAATAACTTTCTCCATTTGTTATTGAATCCACCAAAAAAAAAATAGTGAAAGCTACTCTTTCGCGACTGCTATCGAGTGAGTTTGAAGAGTCTTTCACAAAACCTTTCATCACAGAACCTACTCCGGCCTATGGACTACACAGCCCTTAACATTTACAGTCGTGTTCGTGTTATGAGACTCAGCTGAAAATAGTCCATGCAAGTTAAATGTATTTATCAAGAGATACACAGTTTTTGTTAAATCAGGAGATAACATGCACGATGCCCTTCTATTTACACCACTCAAGAAGCTGAGCTACATCCTACAGCTTATATCATTTTCCTTTGAAAAGAGCACCAACAATTTTTCTATATTTTGATACGTCGTCAATAAACTCGCCCTGTTTTGTCCCATTTGCTTTGTGTTTAGCTTTCTTCTTTCAAATTAGAGAAAAATGAACATCAAATGATTCGGAGACTAATCTTACAAAAGAAATATCAGATCTACCCTGCAATCCAGGCAGTGGCCTTTGTTGGTTTCTTTCTTGCGCTTATAATTTTTCATAGGATCTTTTGAATATTTTTGCAGGATAAAACAAGGAAAATTTCACAGTGAGAAACTGTGATTTTGATTTCAAATCGGAAATTTCTGTGAAAAATTGTTGGTAATGTGCTTGAACGGTGTACAAAGTTCTTTGCAACACCTAACAACTTACCTATACTACTTTAAGTCTTATTTTTAGCACAACGCAGCTTAAGATTATTTTTCTTTTCGCGTGTTTCTATTGTAGGCAAACATTAAACTTAGAAAAACAAATCAACTTTTTAAAGCTACATGCAGTTTTTAAAGGTAATCATACAGATGCAAGTTGCACTCGCCCTCATGGCTTATTTAATTGAGTTAGCCTTTGAAGATTTACTCGTACTGATTTCTGCCGAATTGCACTCGAAACACCTGATTACCCATACAAATTGCTGCAATAATTATTTTAACGAATTTCATCTTGAATGAATGAAGTGCCTGTGCGCTTAGTTAAATAAGCTGTATAGGGACACTTTGAAGCCATTGCGTAAAGAGCTTTAACTTAGATTCAAAATAAGTCTGAGATGTAAGCGATCCATCACGAATTAATCTTGGTCGATTCGGACACGTTTGACACACGGTTTCGACAGGCTGAACCATTGAATTTTGCTTACTGTGTGTCTGGAAATTGGTTTAACGTTCCAAAATACTGAGTCACAATTATTACGATAACTCTGTGTAATTTCATAAGACATTAGATTTTGACTGTCTTTCCTTTTTTTTTTTTTCTACGTCGATATCGCAAGATAACGCCTGCTTGTATTCCGCCAACCTACGCTAAAATAACCATGGTTAATAATTACAGCTAAAGATGGATTAAAAAATATACTAAAGAAAAAAAAATTCACAATTAAAAGGCTCGAAAACCATCAGCTTGAGAGTTTGTGTCATGTAGATTTTACTTGAAGATTACCTTGAAGATCCTTCAACTCTCTCCGATGACAGAGGCTATCTGATAAGAATTATCCTTCTAATGAAATAAATACCTGTTTGTCACCAAAGTTAAAATCTGCCGATAATGTTTATGATAGAGAAGAAAGGTTAATTAGATCACACAAACACCTTATACGCATGTACCTACGGAGCGATTTTTGAGTCCTCTTACTGCGCCAAGTATATTTGCTTCGCATTCAGTCTGTACCACAGTAGCGTGAGAAACAATAAGGTGGGTGAAGTTTGTAGATGAAGTAAGATCCACAGTTTTTTACAAAAATATTTATTGACTGTTGGCAACCAGTAGAGCGATCACTAAAGCAGACCGTCCTTTGAACTTCACCATCTTCCACTGTAGGATGAGCACCTTTCAACCAGCCTGACCAGTTTGTACCACATCTGTTTGCTGGCACGCGCGTTGTTGGCATTTTTGTTCCTGCAGCTCCCACAAAACGATACCATCCCCCGAGGAGTTTTCTGTCACACAACTCTGAACCGTGAGGTGTACTGTAATTTATCTTTCTATTGGCTTCACTCAGGTTTTCATAAAGATAGCAAGGATCAGCTGCAAAGTGAAATGACAATTGCAAACGGCAGCTTCCGGTTAGATTCGAGCAAGAATATTCCAAATATTAGAGCAAAGAGATTAAATTCACTTGTGCAGTTTTGACCATTTCCATTAAATTCAGGCTGGCATTCACAAACATAGGATCTGTCCATGTTCTTGCAGGTAGCATTGACGTGACAAGAGTGATTTCCCTTACATTCGTCAATATCTGAGAAACCGTATACGTATTTGTACTTTATCATGTTTGTCACTTTAAAATGGGTAGACTCTCAGTCGTATAATTACTTTAATAATTATAAACAATATTACCAATGCCCTCCTTTTTTTTTTTGGTTTCACGAATTAGATACTTGAAATGTATATTTCATTACGAATATTACAATTAATCAACCCGACGGCCCTGAAACAACTGGCTAAATAACTGGCTTGTTCCTGCTTCTCCCCCCCCCCAAAAAAAAAAAAAAAAAAAAAAAAAAAAAAATTCCGCGAGGAGTAAGTTGTCACAAAACAGTGGTGTAGCGTAATTGCTCTTTCTGTTAACGTCACTCAGGTTTTGAAGAATTTGGGTTAGAAGAATTTGGGTTTGCCAATGGTGATGCACAAAGCAACTAAAATGAAATGATAGCATCATAAGGAATTACGTTTCCTCTTGCTTTAATCGCCCATCAAAGTCCGAGTTGTTTGTACCTCAACTGGATGCTGCCAAATGCGTTTAGGACATTTTTCATCCTCAGTATTGATCCTCAGCTCCCACACAACGTGCCAGCCCAGAAGTATTTGCTTGTACCCAATTATTTTCTAGGAGAGTGTAATAACTCTCTGTTTACTAGCATCATCCAATTATTTGTAATCATAACGCGAATTGGCTTGCATAAGTCAAATACGTTTGATTGATCATAACTGCTCTTATTATAAGAGAATCTTGGAAGGTTAGAGATTGTTAAAGAGTTTTTAAGTGCCACGGAGAGTTCGTGTCTGCATCACGTTAAAGTTTGTGTAAGGTTTTGAAATCATTTAAAACATAATCAGTTGGTAATTTAGTGTTAACAACTGAGTTGAAAACGTAGATTAGCTTTTTTACTCTTGACGGTGGCCAATTTACGCTTTCAACTTAGTTGGTAACACTAAATTACCTTCTATACTCTCCCACCGACGCAGCACTACAGTTTCTTTAGAAACTTACCCCCTATAATCAAAAGTTGATTCGTTCTTGTGCTCAAAGGAGCGTAAAAGTATGCCTCCCAGATGTGAATGTCGGATGAAAGTAAAATCTAAGAAATTTACTGCTACGTTCAACGTGGGAAACAAAATAAAAATTTTATCGCCTTCAAAAACCAAACTAGCCTTGTGAGGACATGACATTAGTTTGTAATTATGAGCTGGAGGCGATTAATTTCCTTTTTTTTTTTTTTTTTTTTTTTCGAATGGTTTCTAACATCTGGAGACGTTTACTACGCTGGTAATCCGATAGAAAGTGCTGTCTGTTACTTTAGTAATTTAAACTTTAATTTTTCCTGGGTTTATCGGTGCAATTAACGATTGTTTTTTGGCCAGCTAGGGCGCCCGTAGTATCTTGATTATTTTATAGAACTTGATGATAATGATTTTCAACTTTTTTCTCTCAAATATATCTTAAGCGTCAGCGAAAACGTAGCACGATCGAAAATCACTCACATATCCATCCTGTGCACAAGGTTCAGAGCCAAACGAGCGATTTTATTTTCATGCTTCTGTCAATCATTGTGATAAGGTTAATTTTAGTGGAGAATAACAATACACAAGTCACCAAGATTGTTCATTTAAAAATCAGGGACGTTACCTAGGAGGTTCTTAACATGAGGAACGGCTGCCTAAATCATAACGAGTTACATATGAGTAATAAATTATCTAATTGTCTTGCAACACGGCTGAATTGTGCGGCGCTGTAGTCAAACGTGTCATGCAGGACTATTCTAAATATTGTAACGAAGACATTAAATTCACCTTTGCAGTTTTGTCCATTTCCAGTATATCCAGGCTGACATTCACATGTATGTGATCCAAGGGTGTTATTGCACTTAGCATTCACGTGACAGGAGTGATTTCCTTTACACTCGTCAATATCTGAGAAACCGTAAATACATTTTGCACTTTATTTTTGTCACCTGACGATTTATAATTACTTTCATCATTTCAAATAATAAGTAAAAGCTTTCACTTTTTCGTCTTTAATGAACTAGATTTTTGAAACGTGCAACCTAGATATTATATTCTCTTCTCCAATGTTATTTTTTAGTCTCCTAACATGATGGCTCTGGAAAAAACCGGATGTAGATCATGGCAACTCTTTGTATAAACATGTATGGGTAATGCTGCTTAAAAAAACAAAACTCAGCTCTAGTAGGACAGTAGTTCCTGCTTAAATTGCGTTGTGTAATGCTAAGGGCCACTGATATAGCATACAAGCTTGACTCACTCGATTGTAGATAGCTCAAATGTAACTCTAGTGTTTTTTTAGGCGAAAAATAATTAAATATTGTACCTCGGCATGTCTGTAACTATTTTACCTGAGCACAAGCGTCCATCCCCAGTAAAACCGTCTTTGCAGGTGCAATTATAAAACCCAACAGTATTGGAGCAGTTTGCATTTTCGTCACAAACTTTATTGCTGCCTTTACATTCATCGATGTCTATTTGAAAATTAATCGAAGAAATCACTGAGACAAGGTGAAAACATTTCACAGAAGGCCAGGGCAAAGGTAGACCAAACGCTGTGTAAATTCTGTTCTTGTTATACTGACTTACCTTCCAAAATCATGTCGCAATAAACCAACTTTGAGCTCCCGACATTAGTTGGATCCAACCAGTAAGTTTTACTGATGCTGTCTTTACCTTCACTTAATTTTATCTCTTGGCACGATAACGCTGGTAATTCAGGAATAGATCCTCAAGGGGGCTACGATATAGACATGACTTCATTAATAGTTTAAGGGTAATAGAAGTTGCAAAACAGATTAGATCTGAAAATATGTTTGTCCGAGCAAGATAAACATGGAATAACAATAATTAAGAGTTGAGTAGTTTAGCTGATATCAATATATGCATGGAAGGCGAATTTTGCTTTAAGACACTGACTCTATTTAATAACCAAGCAATCGGACATCAGCTCTCGGAAAGTAGCGAGGTCTTACTAGGAACTCACTGAGAAAGATTTGTTTGTAAAATAAACTAAACCGGATACATACTTCTACCACTAATGCGTCCCATGTAAAAGCGTAAATCATCTGGCTGAAAATTCTCGGGCCTTGCTTCCTTAGTTCGGGAGTTCAATTCACAGGACTTTTCCCCAATTACATAATTGTAGCTTTGACATATCGTTTCTCTCTCGCAGGTGATATCGCACACATGAGGAGCTGTTACTGGGACCTTTTTAAAGACGAATCCTTTGAGAGCCATACCAGGTAAGCTAACTTCTGTCTTGCACGGAATTTTGGCAATAGCGAAGTCCATGAGATACAAAGAGACCAATAGGATTAGGAAGCTTGAATTCCTCGCCATTGCCACTGATGCTGAAATTGGAAAGTATACGTTATTTAGGAATATGCATTGAGTGTTTTTTTCTGGCCCATTGATTTAACACAAACCAAACCAAACAAGTAATCAAACAAAATGCCCCCCAAAATAGGCGGAAGGACAAACAAGCGGAAGAGAAATGAAGAAATCCATTCTGAATCGGTTGTAAGTCAACTACATGTCTATTAAATGTTACTACTGTTGGAGTCGCTACACCTTTGTTCATCCGCAGCTCTTTGATATTCGTAACTTTTACATCTCTTGCAGTTATTTGGAAATTATGAGTTGCGGCATTTTGGCGATACAAAACATATCGTGACCGTCCGATTTATGGAAAAGAAATAAAGAAATCCATTCTGAATCGGTAAGTCAACTACATGTCTACTAAATGTTACTACTGTCGGAGTCGCTACACCTTTGTTCATCCGCCTCTTTGATATTCTTAACTTTTACATCTCTTGCAGTTATTTGGGAATTGTAAAGGTTGCTTCCTAGACAGAGTTGCAGCTGAGATGTTGATCGGCCTCAAGATTAAAAGGTGACAATGAAACGAGTGAGGTAAGCATTCATATATTTTTTGATAGACTTGATCCATTGTTATTTTGAGTTACGGCATTTTGGCGATGCAAAACATATCGTGACCGTTTGATTTATAGGAGAGAATATTAATTCATGTCATGGCAAGTTGATAAGAAAAAAAAGTTCAAACAAGACTCTGTGCTTTCCTTACGTTAATATTACTGTGCTTGCAATTTTTCGACAGCCTTATTAAACAATGCCGCACAACTTTTGCGCCAAAGATTCGGTTTGAACAAAATGATTCGATTCCTCCTCCATATCAATTTAAGAGAGGAGATGTGAGGTTGAATTTGCATTATGAATCCATAGATTGAAATGAGGCTTTTTAATTGAAAAAGGCCTGTTGAATTGCGGCAAAACTTTGGTCTCGATTTCTCTATTGTTCTTTAGAGGTGAAAAATTTTTTTTGTCGTAGGTTGTGTTGGTAAAAGATGAGTACTCGCTCCTTTGAAGTCCTACATAAAATATTTTGCACCATATGTTGGAGCTCAAACGCTCGCAATTTTTTCTTTAATGTATCGACACACGGATGAAGCACGTTCGATTTTACCGTTTTATTAGCACAGAGAACAACATTATTTCTGATCTTAATGATAACAGAGAATTTGACTTACCCCGAAAAGGAATAACGAATGATAAACACGCAATTATTCCTTAGAGCCCCCGCACTCACCAACGTCTGGGAGACTTGATTATCACTTTTCAGAAACTTTTAAGCCTAAAAGATAAATAATTCACCTCTGCTCAAAAACGAGTGCCCTCAAACATTTGAGAATGATGTGTTAACATACTTAAAAAAAGCTCTCCAGAAATTCGATCAGCACTTTGCGTCAAATCGTTACCAAGTAGCTTCGATTCTTAATGCACAGCCTTTGTGCATTGAAATTTAAGTCGGAGATAAGTCCATAAAAAAAAAAAAACATTGTTTTGAGCATAGTTCCGTGACCGAAAATTACGAATTTGATGCATAAAAGACACTTATTTTTTATCAGTTTAGAGAATGGAAATGAGCCGAACCTCCTTATGAGGTTTCTATTGTAGGAAAGACGCCCCATGGACGCAAATTAAAACCGACTGAGAACACCTGTGGGGCTTGAAGATAATTAAGTCCTGAAGATTACACTTCTCGAAGCAGAAAATAAGTACGATCGATCAAGTAATTTGAACTTCATTCTCTTACTATTTATTCCGAAAAAATATTTTTTGACTGAACCCCAAAAATACTGAGAGAAAAGTTGCCTCGAATCATTTATCCAAGGTGAAGCTAATGATTCCTTTGTTGCCAAAACTTACGTGAACGCTATCAATTTCTTCTTTTTTTTGATGTTGAAGTTAGTCTTAATGACTACTCCAGCCCTCTGCACATGCAGAATAAAACAAGTTCCCGCACGACTTTGGTACGATTTTTTTCATTTGACCTCTTTGGAGGCACCGCAAAACCTCAAAACCGTTGAGGAAAGTAGAACCAAAGTAGAATTCGACCATCGTCGTGTTAAAAACAAATACACAGGCCTTTTATAGATAACAATCAAAGGTGATATTCGGAGCATCCTCGCAGCTACTGTACTGAAGCAAAAAAATGTCCCTATGGAAATATCGTTGGCTTTTATGTTCTATGCGATAAATTTTGGTCATGTTTTGAAACTGAGAGATGTTGGAAAACATTATTACGCCGCCACAAATTGCTGTGAAACAGCACTTCTAATCAGCGAGAAAATAAAACGGTGTACCAAATAGGCCTTCCGCAGTGACTCTAAGCCAGATTATAAACTGGCATATTGAGGAATTCTCTCTCGCGTAAAATTAACGAAAGAAAAGTGTTCCAAAACTTTGCGCCGCAAAAGAAGACGTAGAAAGTCGATAACAAGAAATTTCATTTTGAACTTTCACTTGCGAAGAACATTATTGCTTTATTCACATCGATTATGCTGCATTACAAACGTGAAATTCGAGATGTAATACAGAGTATTTCCAATATGAATGAACATGTCCTTTTTGGACAGATTGTTTGAAAAATTGATGTAAAGCTCATGTTTTAAATTGGTTGCTTTCAAGAAAAAAAACCCTTACTTTGTTAGTTGGAGAATTAGAAATATCAGGTCAAAATAATCGAAATATCAGTTAACATCTTACCCGTCAGCAGAAAAAGGAAAAGCAAATCCTATAAAAGGGCTGCAAAACTCAAAACTAATCGCTTTAAGTTAAATTTTTTTCCAGATTCGAGGGATTATCGCATCGAATTCGTTCGAACAATTTATTTTCCTTTTGGTTTTCTCTAAATGAAGACGTTGTATGTTCCGAATAGTTTAATATAGTTTTTCATTCTTGGAGTGTCCACTAGAGTTAAAGAAAACTGGCTCACCTTTTAAGATGCAGCACCTCTCCGGTAAGAAATTCAAAACGCATTACAAAGAATGCTGTCATTAGCATTTGTTGCCTCATAATTGCAGCTGAAGTCATAGTAGTCAATAGAATGACTCTTAATTAATAATTAATTTCTCGTTCCTGTCTGGTCCTTGAGAATATATCACACTTCCTTTTTTTAAGTCTGGAAACGGTTTAGAATTTATTTATAAATATCGCAGCTTTTCGTAGCAGTCTGAGTGTCTCGAGTGTTACTTTGGGTAAATAGAAACATATTCTACTCTAATGATGATTTTAGATATATGAAATTCATATATTTGTACTGCGGCGAAGAGACGAAATTAAGAGATCCTCGCAGCTAAGAACACTACTGAAATGAGTAGTTGAAAATAGGACCTGAAAAAAATTCAGGCCCATACGGGATTTGAATCCATTACCTCTGCGATACCGGTGCAGTGCCGGTACTCTCTTAAACTTGCCACTTGCCGTAAATATAAAGAAGACTCTGTAACGATGAAAAGAATTGCACGCACCCTAAGAGGTTAATTAAGAATAAGGAATAATAGGCTTTTGTTCCTTACAGGCACGCAGTTATTACGCAATAAAGAAGTAATTACCAGCTCAAATAAACTATTTATTTTACACACATCGAACCTCTACACAGGCTTCTGCCTTTTTTTGATTTAGTTATACTTTATTTTCGTATCATCATTCTGTTGTAAATTATTTCGTGGACACGAGTCATCAAGAATAATTAATTTCATGAACTTAAACAAAGAGGAATGTACGATTCATTGAATGAAAACATTAAAATTTCATGGGAGAAAAGGCGTCCTACATTCTTAAAATATGAATGAAGAGAACCCCTGCACGTCTTTAAATGAATTTCGTGTTATATAAGTTTGAAAAGAAAAAAGAAATGCTTGTTTTTTCGATATAATTCAAAAACAAAGATGGAGTTTAAAGCTACTTCATTTAAAAACCATGGTGTTATCAACATTTTTATATTTCAACCGTTTGTGGCCACAGTAGACAGTTTCAGTCGTGTTATTACAAAACATCTCCTCATTTCTACGTAGTTCTTAAGATTAATTTTACTTGATTTCATATCGTGGTGGCTTGGAAAACATTTTTAAAAGTCATAACACACAGCAAGAATTTTGCGGTTATAACTGGCAATAATTCTTAAAAACAAAGAAAACCCTTCATTTTTTCATAACAATGATAGCTGATATCGATCTCACCCTGAAGGAATAATGAAAAAAATACCCCGAAGCAAGAAAGGATATTATCTCTTGCACGCAATGTTCTTTATAACTCCTCGTCCTCAGCAGCGTAAGAAGACTCGATTATCATTTCTTATGGGCTGTTAAGCTGAGACATGTCGAACTTCTAGAGTTTTACTCAGGTTTTTCTAATGATAGGAAGGATCGGCTACAAAGTGAAATGACAATTGCAAAAGGACTAAGATGATTAAAAATCAATGTTTGAAGGTTTTCCCTGATATCCTATAATTCTAGAAGCTTGCCAAAAAGCCGTAAAACTTGTACTTAGCAAGGAATATGACTATGCATTGATGCAGATGCTCGTAAAAAGTTCAGCATAATATGCTAATATATTAGAGTATAGGATTTTAATTTGCGTCAAACCCCACATACAACACCCCATAATCGGTTACTATCCAGTACTTTGCAGCTTGTTTATGAAATGCAGAGGCCGAGGCCGGGACTTACATAACTAATAAAGATTTTGGTCTATTTACAAAGAATTTCACAGGTTATAATATTGATGCAGTGAGTTAATTATTAATATCATCATTTTTTGTTTGGGTGATAATAGCACACGATTACCACAGACTAGTTATAGAGAGAAATTTAAACTACTTTTTTAAAGACTCCTTAGTCAATATTTGTCGGTTTGCAACTATGGGTGCTGTCACAACAGTCATTCGAAAAAATGTTACTAATAAATAAATTATTGTTCCTGTCTAGTGCTCGAGATTTAAAATACACCGTTTATTTCAGTCTCAAAAGCTTACAGTT